GTCCCTCTCCTGACCTATGGGGGCCTCCTCTTCCTTCCTTGCAGACTCCCCTTATTAAATTCTGCACACAAGATTGGCCTTACTATCAATTAGACAATCAAAGTCAATGGCCCCCAGGAGGATCCCTAGATCCCGAAATTCTCAGAGATCTGTTTAACTTCTGCGAGCGCTCGAAAAAGTGGAAGGAGTTCCCCTATGTTGAGGCTTTTTCTCTTCTTCGTTCTCACCCCGACCTATCCGGCAGATGAACCCCCTCCCTACCGACCTCCCCCGTCGGCTCCGTCCAGCCCCTCAGGTGCTCCCCCTGACTTGGCCGACACCTTTAGTTCCTCCCAAACTAGGTCCCGCTCCCTAGTCCCACAAACCATGGCCCCTTTAAGAGAGGTTGCTGGACCTGAGGGCATTATCCTGGTACATGTCCTATTCTCTATGAATGACCCCATGCAACTCGAGCGAAGGTTGGGCTCATTCACCACAGATCCAACCACTTACATTAGAGAGTTTCAATGGGTCCTCCAGGCTTATAGCCTCACTCACCATGATATATATATGTTATTGGCTAATACTCTCCTTCTTGAGAATCGTACCAGAGTCTGGGAACTTGCCAGAGCCCATGCGGATGAAACTCACCGAGTTAATCCCAATCACCCTCTGGGGCCACTTGCTGCCCCAGATCAAACTCCCGACTGGGATTATAATACACAAGCTGGCATACAGAGTAGGGACCGATTCTCTGCATGTATTATTGCTGGGCTCAAAACAGCAGCATGTAAGGCTGTCAATTTCCAAAAATTACAAGAGACCCCATCGGAATTTCTGGATCAGCTTACAAAAGCCCTTCAGCAGTAACCTAGATCTCAAAACCCCAGATGGCCGTCATGTCCTTATGTCATATTTCCTCTTGCAGAGCTACCCCGACATCTGGGCCAAACTAAAAAAGCTCAAACAAGGCCCTGCCATCCCCCAAACTAAGATCTTGGCAGTAGCCTTTAAGGTTTGTATGCTCGCCCAGGTGCTGCAGGGTCCTTCCTTGGGTCGCCGCCCATCACCGAATCCCCCGCCTCCCCCGGGCGCCTGCTTCAAGCGTAGCAAGGAGGGACATTGGGCCAGGGCATGCCCTGCACCACGCACTCCATGTACCCCATGCCCTAAATGTCAACAACAAGGTCATTGAGGCTCTGACTGTTCTAAATCCCGTAGGAGGCCTATGGCCAGGGAACCCTCTGACCTTCTGAGCATGGCAATCGCTTGACGGTGCCTTGGGTCCTTGTCCCCAGCCATAATGATCAATAGACAGGAACCCAGGGTGCAGATTCAGGTGGATAGGTGCAAGGTTGACTTTCTCCTTGACACCGGGGCTACCTTCTCAGTCCTGACAGATTTCTGGGGGCAAACAGTGCCGTCCACCTCTCCTATTGTCGGGGTAGGAGGAAAGACCATCTATCCAAGAAAGACTCCCCTATTACTCTGTTCCATAGACAACTTCCCATTCTCTCAGACGTTCCTAGTTATGCCCCAATGTCCTGTTTCTTTGCTCGACCGAGATATTCTCTCTAAATTCAATACAACAATCAACATCCAGGTTCCTGGCATCAGTCAAGCCCCAGAATTGGCCTGTTCGTTTTTTCTGGCCCTTTTGGCAGAAGACTGGCCATTCTGCTCCACTTGTGAGGCTGACATGAAATACCATACTAACCTGGTTGACCCAATTGTATGGGATACCCACACCCCCTCCACCGTTTCCTGCCCACCAGTTAACATTCATCTCAAAGATCCTAACACCTTCCCCAATCAGGCTCAATACCCCTGTCCTGCTCTTCTGGGCCTACAACCTATTATTCAGGACCTTCTTAGCAAGGGGTACCTCCGTCCTGCTCATTCCCCTTACAATACTACCATACTAGCGGTAGAAAAGCCCAACTGGTCCTATCGTTTAGTTCAGGACCTACGACTCATCAACACCTCCATTAGGCCCATACATCCTTTGGTTCCCAACCCATACACCCTGCTGTCTCAGATACCCCACACTGCCACCCACTTCTCGGTCATAGATTTAAAGGATATCTTTTTGCCTTTAACCTGGACTGTCCTTCCTCAGGGATTTGATAGTCCACACCTCTTTGGACAAACCTCCGACCTCCAATCTTTTCACCCCTGGTGCCCCGAATCCTCCCTCTTACAATATGTTGATTATCATCGGCAAATCTCTTTGCCCACCTGCGGGGAGGAAAGCACCCCACCACAGCGTTTAAGGCTACGGTGGCCCTCAGGGACTCCTTCCTTGGGCAGATTCGAAAATCCTAGTCCTCTCACCACAGGACTCGGCCGCTAGAGAGACACTTACCCTCTCCTTCCTCTCTTTCCAGCCCTGGGAGTATCCGGCCTCTCCAGGAAGGGTCCCGAAAAGCCTTGGCCAAGGTCTCCCACGGCTCTGGCTCCATCCAGGATAAGAGCTTCGACTGTCAGGATTCGGTGACGACCAATCTCTGCAGCTTGAACCTGCCACTTAGGCACTCCTGATTTTTTGGCTCTAGCGGGGACGCCTCTTTTGCCAATAAATCAGTTTCCTCCTTCTCTGCGTCCTCTTCCCTCCTCCTTACATGGGTAATGTGTCCTCTCTGCCGTCGACTCTCCCCTACAATGCCTCTTGGATCAAATATAATACCCAGGCCTGGCCCACTTATCCCTTAGACAACCAAAGCAGATGGCCCCTTTCTGGGTCCCTGGATCTCTCCATTCTAAGGGATCTCTACAATTTCCAGGCTTTCTTCTTGCTCCAATCCAATCCTACTCTCTGTACTTCTTGCAAAGCTCTACAAATTCTTCTAGCCTGTCCAAAGGGCACTCAACAGATGACACAGTTCTCCTACTTTCTTGGCCTTAAAGGGATATCCTTCTCCACAAAAGGTCCAAATAGCATGTAAAGAGGTCACATATCTCTCAAGGGAAAAAGGCCATTACAGTAGACAGAAAACAGCTTATTGTGTCTATACACCAAAGACCAAAGATGACATACTCTCCTTCTTGGGTTTGGCTATATAATCTGGCCAAGGGCCCCCAAGATGAACTTCTACTCTCAGTGGTAGGGAAGCCCTTTAAAAAAGCCCTCCTCCGGGCACCCGCCCTGCATCTCCCCGACCTCTCCCGACCCTTCACCCTCTATGTACATGAAAAACAGGGACAAAGTCTGGGTGTTCTGGGTCAGGAATATGGTCCCACATTTGCACCTATCCAAACAGCTCGACCCCACTGTCAAGGGCTGACCCCCATGCCTCAGAGCCCTAGCAGCAGCATGACGATTTTACCCTGCCCTACCACCAAGCTGAACTCATAGCTGCCACAAGGGCATGCGAGCTAGCGGAGGGAAAAACACTCTCCCTATATACCCATCTCCCATGCAGCCATTTGGAAGAAAGGGGGCTATTGACCACCAGAGGAACGGCAGTCATTAATTCCACACTTATTTCTGGCCTACTACGAGCCTCCAGGCTGCCTTCCCAACTGGGAATAATCCATTGCAAGGCCCCAAACTTGGGGCCGCCCTACAGAGCTTTACCTCCTCTCTGCTACTCGTTACCACTGGGGATCGGCCCAAAGATCCCCAGCAACTCTTCCAGTTTCTTCACTCTCTATTCCATTCTAGTCCACAGAGTCTCACTACTTTCCTTCACTCCTTTTTCACCCTTTCCCCACGCGATAAGACCCTCCTACAACAGATCACTTCCGCTTGTCAGATCTGCCAGAGAACCAATACCAATACTCCATTAAAACCTAAACCTTTCCCTTCTCCTCAGGCCCGCGGTCATACCCCAGCTGCAGATTGGCAGATTGATTTCACCAACATGCCCCGAGTAAAAAACATAAAATATCTTTTTGTATTGGTAGATACTTTTTCGGGATGGGTTGAAGCCTTTCCCACTTCTAACAAACGGGCCTCCATGGTAGTTGATCTGTTGCTTACTCACATAATCCCCTGTTTTGGGATGCCCACTTCTATCCAATCAGACAATGGCCCAGAATTCACCTCGCAGATAACTCAGGGACTGGCTCATGCACTATCACTCCTTGGCATTTCCATTGCCCTTACCGCCCCCAGGCTTCCAGAAAGGTTGAGAGGACCAATCTGTCCCTTAAAGAGACCCTCACCAAGCTCACCATGGAATTAAGCCTGGTCTGGGTAAAGGTGCTCCTCTTGGCTTTATTGCGCATTAGAGCCTTGCCAAAGAAGCTTTCTAATCTCTCACCTTTCGAAGTCAGGTATGGCCGTCCGTCCCCTCGTTCCTCCAGGATTGCCTACAGAACCCCTACCCATCTCTGAAACCTATGCTCTGCCCCTCCTCTTCCATCTATGCTCTGAACTCTGGTGCTATCAAGACTGGCTCCTTCCTGACCCCAGTCTCTCTCAAAACCCTACCTCCTTAACACCTGGTCAACTTGTTTACTATTGCCCACCGGGGGAAAAGCCCCCTCTAAAACCAAAATGGAAGGGCCCTGCTCAGGTGATTATGTGCACACCCTTAGCAGCCAAACTCAAAATACCTAATAACCAACTTACCCCATGGATTCATATTTCCAGGCTTAAGCCCAGCACTCCTACACCTTCATCAGAAGAGCCAACAATTGTCACCTGTCATTAAGTACTCTTGTCAATGCTCCCCCTCATTTCTGGCCCCTCTTGGGTCCTCTCTTCGCCCTATGTCTGAAGATTCAAGGCAAGTGACCCTAAGGGCCCCTTCCAGCCAGACCCCCCCCCCCCCCGACTTGCTTGAATCTGGCCAGTAGTGGGACCATTGTGTGTTGTCCTTCTGACAAACCACTTAGGTGTCCAGAGCATGGTGACCCCTAAATAAGTGTGATCATAAGAGAGCACTTTACCAGTTGCCTTCTGGGCCTAAGGAGAAACGTGTGTTTTGTTTACCCTCCCAGTTTCGTAAGAATCTCAGGTATCAGTATTTAAAGTTGAGGAGAGAGTGAGCTGTTTACTTCCTGTGGTATGGAGGCTGTGGCCGTGTACTCTGCTGTTCTTCGTATCCTAGAGGATGGCTTTGGAGACTGTGCCCAAGGACCTACGGCATCTGCGTGCTTGTCTGCTGTGTTCGCTGGTCAAGACAATAGACCAGTTTGAATATGACGGTTGTGATAATTGTGATGCATACCTACAAATGAAGGGTAATCGAGAGATGATATATGACTGCACCAGCTCTTCCTTTGATGGAATCATTGCAATGATGAGTCCAGAGGACAGCTGGGTCTCCAAGTGGCAGCGAGTCAGTAACTTCAAGCCAGGTGTATATGCAGTGTCTGTCACTGGTCGTCTGCCCCAAGGAATTGTGTGGGAGCTGAAAAGTCGAGGAGTGGCCTACAAATCCAGAGACCTAGCAAGATTCAGGCTGCCAGCATCTTTTCTGTCCACCTCCTTCCTCTGCTTATTTTTTGGTGTGGAACTAAACAGGCAGAACTTCAAATACTACTTGCCCTCCAACTCTGAGAATGAACAGACAATTGAGAGAGTAGCACATCCTGTCTCCACCATTTCACCTTGGGACTAGTGGTGGAGGTGGAGAGGTTGGGGCTGGAGGGTTCAGAGACTGAATTGAAGGGAAAGGATGCTGGTATTCCTGCTCATGCCCTGGGCTGTGCTTTTGCCCATGGGCAGTACTTTGATTTAAATTCCAATTAACATGAACCACTGGAAAATTCTTAAAACTATGACACATGGCTTGCCTCCCTCTCCCTTTCTTTCAGCTAGGCACAGTAAGGGCTCACTTGCCTGGTAAGCACCATCCAGCACAATAAAGGCTCTTCTGCTCTTGTCACTATTTCTGGGCCTCCAGAAGTGCAGCCTTCCCAGCATACTTGCTTGAGTTTCATTGGAAGGTCTGCTGTTCTGTGGCACAGTAACCCCTCAGTGTAGTCCCACTGTCTAGTGCTTATGTCTTGCCCTCTAGACCTGTCAAGTCAGTCTCTTGAAATCTTGAGGCTTAGTGTTCTTTGCTCCTTGACTTTGTTTAATACTGCTTCTTTTCCTTCTTTGTCTCTTTATATTTACTGATCTACCTATACCTTTGGCTAGTCTCATCGTCATTTTACATTCCCCTCTCTGGAGACCTTCCAGCCTCAGGTGGCTGCTGGGTCTTGTCTGGGAGTTTGTGCCTCTGTGGGAAGTTGGCCTTTCCTTCTCTAACCTGGTAAGGGTGCTTTGGGTAACTACAAGGGCCAAGGTGAATTACCTGTTTTAAAATTTAAAAATTACCATAAACTCGTTTATTTAAGTTTCCACAGAAATCCTATTAGTATCCCCATTTTGATTTAAGTTCATCCATAAAGTGACTTAAGTGATTATACTCTGTTTACTTCAAGATTCTTGTGATCAGAAATGAAGCGATGTGCTAGGCATGGTGGCGCATGTTATAATGAGGCAGGAGGATCACAGGTTCAAAGTCAGCCTCAGCAACTTAGGTTGTAAGCTACCTAGTGAGACCCTGTCTCAAAATGAAAAATAAAAGGCTAGGCATGTTGCCCAATGGTTAGGCACACTTTGCTTCAACCTCTGGAACCAAAAAAAAAAAAGATGAAACAGTGTAAAAATTCTAGAATATAAATCTTACAAAAAGCAAAAAATAAAATAAATAAATAAATAAAAAATAAAGTTGAGGAGAGATCTGACTGCTCTCAAAGGGAAATATGGTAACAATGGGCCACCGTCCTCCCTTGGCCACCTTCAAGAAAGGTGCAGGACAGGCTGGTCTGCAGGGCCTGCAGGGCATGCCAAAGTTAGCTGCAGGATGACCTGGTTCTTTATCACCTGTTTGCTTCAAGCCCAAATGCCCAAGCCCCTGCTCAAGGCTGAATACTTAACCCCCGCTTGTGCCAACAAGGCAGCTTGCAGACCCAGAGACCCCATTAGATTTGGGCTATAAAAACTCCCTGTGCCTGTTCCTTCCCCCTATCATAAAGTTCATTCAGACTCAGGTAGGTAATATTTCTTTTCTTTTCTTTTTTTTTTAGACCATGGGTGTGTTCTGCACAGGAGGTCTTTTTTTTTTTTTTATTTGAGAGAGGAGAGAGAAATATCTATTTTTTAGTTTTTGGTGGACACAACATCTTTGTTTGTATGTGGTGCTGAGGATTGAACCCGGGCCACACGCATGCCAGGCGAGCGTGCTACCACTTGAGCCACATCCCCAGCCCCTGTGGGTAATATTTCTAATCAAGCTTTTAACCAGCTTCTCCTCAGGAATTACCAACTCCTGGTTACTGATGATACCTCCAGTCGACACCTATGCTGAATGGACTGACCTCATCATGGATCTGTGGTGGCAAGGAACCTTCATTGATACCGGTTTTCTCTGCCCTCCTGTGGGGGCTCCTTACTTCCCTCCTCTCTTTCTCCCACACCACCCCATTTCAGCAGGAAGCAGCCAGAATGAGTCGACGCCCACTCTCACTTAATAACAAAGAGGGGGGAATGTTGGGAGTCAACCGGGCTCCAAAGACTAACTTCCCCATCCCCCAAGAAGAGCCTTACAATGGTGAGCCCTGCTGGCTCACATGATCCTGCCGTCCAATGGTGAGCCCTGCTGGCTCACATGATCCTTACCCACCAATCAGACTAGCACTGCTGGCTCACCTGATCCTTACCCACCAATCAAAAAGCACCTCCTGCCAACTGTCAGACCACCCCCGGCTCTATAAATATGCAGAGCTGTTCCTTTGATGGCAAGCCTTGATCCTTCTTTCAATTTGAAATGTGTTTTTGTTTTGTTTTGCAGTGTTGGTGATCAAACCTAGGGCTTTGCACGAGCGATTGCCCTACCACTGAGTCCTTGAAATATTAATAACACCTAAAAATACCTTTACAGAAACATCCAGAGTGGCATATGACCAAACAACTGGGCACACTAGCCTAACCAAGTTGACATAGAATTAATCACTACCCCAGGGCAACCCTCAGGTGGATCCTCTTCTATCCTGTGCACCAGGACCCTGATACAGAAGACCTCACGCCCACCCTTCAGGATCTCAGTCCAGCCAGGAGAAGGCACCTGCACGCTGCTGCCACAAAACAGAAGAGCCTACATCAGGGACACGTGAAAGGCGAGGTCTCCTCTCCTGCTCTCCCCTTTGTGTGCCCCACCCTGAGGAAAATGGAAAATATATAAAACGGAAGGGGGGGCGCTAAAACATAAGATTCTTGTTGAATCAGGTAAGTCAGTCCTCCATGGCTAAACTCAGTGTGTTAACTTTGCAGTCAAAAATTATTACACCAAACAGACAACAGACCAACAATCCTGGGGACCTGGGGACAGAACCCAGAGCCTTGGGCATGCTAGGGGAGCTCTCTATGCCAAGCGAGGTCTCAGCCCTTTAACAATTTTACAGAGTCCTGGCAAGTTTCCCAGGGTGGTCTCACTCCAAGTCAACATCCCTGTACCTCAGTCCCCGAACTCTGGGGTTACACGTTTGGACCTGGCACACGCCAATCATTTAATGCAGTTTTGAGGAAACAAATTTTGGGGTGGACGGAATAGCTGAAAAACTTTCCAGAGAAGGTGACCTCTGAGCTGTATTTGGAAGGTCAGATGAGGAGTCACCCAAGTGGAAAAGATATGGGAGAGCGTCCCCACAGGGGAACAGCAGGTGCCAAAGAAGGCACGGAGCACGCGCTTCAGAGGCTGGCACAGGGGCTCCGTGTTCTCACACCCTTGGCAAAACCGCACATGGTCATGTGCTCCATGTACGTGGACACCCCCACACACCCCCCACCCCCGTCGTAAGTAAAGGACGGCAATGGCAGAGATCATGTCTGCCACTGTGAAATGTTGTTTCCTGAATTCGGACGTTGAAATCCTAATCCCCAAGGCGAATGTATTGGGGGTGGGGTCTCTGGGAGATAATTAGCACCTGAAGGCCGAGTCCTCAAGAATAGGACAGATGTCCTTATATGAGGGGGCCAAGCAAGGCCCTGGGGTCTGATCCCATCACTGGGTGGGGGGAGGGGAGAAGAAGACCAGAGAAATGGCTCACTTTCTTTTTGACATTTGAGGATACAACACAAGGTGGCCGTCTGCTGCCTGGAAGAGGACCTCACAAGAACCTGACCATGCCCGTACCTGATCTCAGGCTTCCAGACTCCAGCACTGTGAGAAATAAAAGTCGGTTGCTGACAAACCATCCTGTTTATGAGACTTTGTCATCAGCAGCCTGAGCTAAGACAATGTCCCATTGATGTCTGTATTCCCAGAACTTGGCACATGCCTGACACATAGGAAGAACTTAATAAATGAAGCTGGGTTCAAGGTCACATTTCATCATGGTGTGGGTTTGCCCCAGTCCCTGCCAGCTTTTTGACAAATACCTGCAGTTCACAAGAAGGACTGAGCAAGAGAGAGGGAGACACCATCACTCTAATGCCACAAAGAAATACATAAAAAAAAAATCAAGTGTCTGTTTTACTGTGGATGCAAAAGAAATACCTGTAAGGAACAGAACCTGGAAATGTTTTGGCAAATGTTGCTGTTATAAATGCGCTCACACTCTGCTAACAGCCTTTCATTCAGATAATGGTTTTTGAACAATTGAATAGTGGCCTCCCAGTTCCCACATAGGCAGGTGCTGTGCTCCGTGCAGAGATCATCTTGGTGCAAGGGTGTTAAGACTGTAATTCTCCATGTAATACCTTCTTAGCTTAGACAGTGGGGGGCAGCGCTGGCTCTCAGTTATCCCACCTATGTCCCCGGGGCATTGCAGACCACAATGAAGAAGAGAGAAATCAAAGAAGTCAGCACAACCCCTGCCTTGTCCACGCCTCTGGCCTGGACCAGCTTGCGGTTTCTATAGCTACAAGCCCGTCTCTTAGGGAGCTCAGCTCACCACCCAATAGTGTCGTTAAAAAGGCCATATCTATCAGGAGATGGAGATCTGTGCCACTATAGAGATGTTTTCCTCTGGAACTTGTAATTAATAAAGTGACACTTGATATTGTGAACGTGACAGAATAGGACACAATAAAAATCCGGGCTCCATTTCCTGCAGATGGAAATAGACAAGCTGGTCTGTTATGAAGCCTGGGGAAAGCAGAGCCTCCCCTGCAATTATCTGTTGGAGGTGATGCACCACCAGCTATAGACATGGCCCTCTTCCAGACAGCCTCCTTTCACAGAGGAGAGGTGTTAAAGGATAAGAAAGCAACACCCCTTTCCCAGGGAATCAGAGCTACATGCTTATGTTACACTATCTAATAATAACACAGTCATACCATATCTCTTAATTTCCACATTTTCTTGTATATTTATTGATTTTTTCAATGGTGGGGATCAAACCATGAACCTCACGCATGTAGCTTCTACCACTGAGCTCTACTCCTAGCCCCATATTATTGGATTTAACCTAATCCTCTAAGGTTGTTATATAAAATACCCACTTTTTTTGTGTTTTTGTATACTGGGAATTGAACCCAGGAGTGATTTACCACTGAGCTATATCTCAGTCCCCTTTTTAAGAATTTTTTGAGGGCTGGGGATGTGGCTCAAGTGGTGGCACACTCGCC